GAGAGAGAGAGAGAGAGAGAGAGAGAGAGAGAGAGAGAGAGAGAGAGAGAGAGAGAGAGAGAGAGAGAGAGAGAGAGAGAGAGAGAGAGAGAAATAAGAGAAAAAATGGGCCTGAAGCCCGTAAACCTTCCTTTATAATTACCCTTCTGTTCCCATGCGCTACTCTTAACATGTTCCCTCACTCCCAATCCCTTAGATCTTTATCACACTTTAATAAACCGCGCGTCCACTGCAATCTGCCTGATCTCTCCCACACTCTGTCCACCGGGCCTCAAACAAATTTTGTTTTAGGCCTGGTTCTTAATTCCTGCACCCCTGAAATTACTTCCTCAGCGTAAAACAACACACCTCCTACGCTATTGGGCCAAGGCCAATATCTGGACTTGGGCCCTCACTTACCAGACCCCCCAATTTTGCTACCATGTTCAAAACGACATCCCTTGTGCTTTGGGCCTAAATATAATATCTGAATTTAAGACCCTGTTAATTGCACCCCCATCCTTTTACTAACAAACTGAAAATACACCCCATCCATAAATAAACTAAAATTATATTTTTTTACTATTTATTTTATTTATATTTTTATATTTTCATAATCAATATTTGTTTATTATAAATTCTAAATTTATTCATTTTATTAATTCAAATTTTCTTTTTAAAATATTAACTCATTCAAACATTTTTAATTGCATTAAAATTATTTTTCTCATGCATTAAAAAGGTTTTCTTCACATACTAATATATTTAAAAAATATCTAACCAATCAAATTACTAACAATTTACACTAACTTATTAAATCCAAGATATCATTCTCAAAAAGGATTATGAAGATATTTCTCATTAACCTCGAACTTCGTCTAAACACTCCGCTATTTTCAACCTAGACTTGGTTCAAGGATTAATTCGAGATATTCTTGTAATCTATAAAAAACACCAACCAACAACTACGAACTACGAATTGGGGCTATGATTCCTTATAAGAGGATACGTAGGCATACTACTTAAAAATTGTGGCAAGTTCCCCTAATAAAAATTAAAACCCTATGTCCTAAATCGTAAATTTAAACCCTAGTATCCTTATGAACAAGGTAGATGAGAGGTGCCTAACATCTTTTCTTCGTCTAAAAACGAGTCAACGACCAAGAATCTCTGACCAAATTAGGGTTATCTATTATGTTCCCTTCCCTAGGATAAAAATTAATGGTGGTGACTCTCAATTTAAAATTGGTTATAACATGTGCCTTAGAAAGATGTTCTACCAGATGTTAGAACATCATATCAGCAGGTGTGCAGATTCCTGTTGCATAGTAGATGCTATGGGTGTTAAACAAATGTGTGTTAATCACATATGTTTAGGATCTTCTTCTGAATTGGAAGAGGAGGCATCTGGACTATGTATCTAATATGTTCTATTCAGAAAACATATCTTAGATAAGTGTGTTGGTCAAGGTATGATCAACATATTATTTACTCATTGGGTCAGTTTATTTCTGATCAAAGTATATAAGAGTGCAGAAGTTGAGCTCTCATTTCTAATGGAGATTTGTTAAAGGAATCTCAACCATAGGCTTTATTTATGGATGTAAAGTTAAATTGTCAAGGCATTCTTTATGCCGTCTAGAAGACCCTTTTGTTAAGAGAAGCCAAATTCGGGTGATCTTAATCAAATGGAACAATTTCTGATTGTGTTGAGTAAGGAGGAGTTGGTAGTCTTATTAAGGACCAAATTATTATGTTTCTTAAGAAAGGAAGTTTGATTGTTTTTCCCTGTTAGTTGTATGGGAAGGTCCTCTTTAAGCTAGAGTTCAGTTATGTGGTTTCCCCACATGATGGAACATTAGTTTTTGCAAGGAGTAAAGAGAATCCTTGAGTCTTGAAGGATTAGGAGAAGCGGACTTATTATAAATAGTTTGTTTGTGGTATTACGATCAGTAAATACCCCGTTTGTTGTAGTCTTCCCCAGATACCTGTTGGAGGAAATCTCTTCTTTAGGTGTAGAATGATGGCGTGTAACATCTAAAAGTCAGACAAGAAATGTGAACATTGTGCTTATGAGAAGTAGCTTCTTGAGGCGTGTAATATACAGGTTATTGCATGTTTCTATGATCTGATCTTGGAGGTTGATCAGCTGCTGATGTATACTCTTGTGTATTATTTAAGAGATGTGCATCGGTTACTATGGGTGTTGTCTCTAGAACCATAGTAAATGGTTAAACCCATGTGATTTATACTAATGTCTGAACTAATGTTGGAACATTATTTCAGTTCTTTGCTTCTTCAGCCAAGGAAGTTTGTTTCGCTCATGATAGAGTGTAAGGTCAAGCTACTGGCCTAATCAAGAGTGGTTTTTGGGTTGTATATCCTTCATGATTTTTTTGTCATGATGAAGAATCCATTTGTGCTAAGTGGTGTGCAGAAGAAGGATTTAAGACCAAATGTTCTACCATCTTGTGAGGAGGTAGTCTTATCTGTTTTTAATGAAGGTATGCATGTGAATGATGGAAAATACACTGACGAGAGTTGTGTATTTGTCTGATGTGTTCATGCAAGATTATTATCTGAATATTATGATTCAGAAAGTGTATGAGAGTTTATTTCTCTCCATGGTTCTATGGTGTGTGGTAATTGCTGAAGGTGTGATCTCTTGAGATCTTCTTATGTCAAGGACTTCTATGCATAATGAGTCCTTTGAATGGTGATTTAAGAACCAAAATGATTGAGTTCTGTGATGTGAATCTGATGTCCCAAATAATATTGTAACATCATGCTTGTTGACGGTTGTGTTTGGAAGATGCTTGGAATTTTGAATGAAGAATATGTTGCTCAGCATCTTTTTCAGAAGAGTGTCAGATAGTGTGATCTGATCTGAATGCTTTTGAGGAGGTGGTTTCTTCTGCTACAAGTCAATCTAGAAAAGATTTTGTTATCTTAATAAAGCTTTTAAGCAAATTGAGAATTTTTTAGTTTGTGAGCAATGTCGCACCAAGTGTGCATGACAACTTAGTCATCCAAGGAGTCATGACAACGTGTGTGAATCATTAAGGCCATTTACCTGATATGTCCTTATTAAATTGAAGAAGTCAGAAGGCCTAGATGTATTCTCAAGGAGCTATAGTATATGGATCAGGATTGAATTTCTAGTGTGTGAAGGTGTTCAACTTGTGTGAGAAGCTGTAATTCTTCACTATGAACATGTGAAAATCTTCATGTGTTTACATTCATCTAGTTCTCAAGTGTTTTTTATCAGAAAGAGCATTAATTATTCATGACAGAGGGAGTAAATTACTTGTTTATGGGTTGTTGGTGCAATGGTGCAGGTCTTTTGAAGCTTGCGGAGTTTACATACTTCTTATGAGGGTGTGATGTCAGACAACATGTCGTGACATAAGGCTACTGTATGTAGTTATTTGTGTTTCTGACTAGGCATATATGGTTCCATCCATGTGAGGCTGATTGATTGAATCTTGTGTTCTCATGGTTCTTAAAGTGAACTTTAAAGAACAATGTTTGTGTCTGGGAGAATTTATGTTTCTCTGCAGATTGAGGAGGGACTCAATGGTTGTTTTGATTGATGAACATATTGGATGTCTTGATATCTTGGTTTGTTTCACTGTTGTTGGGTGAAAGGAGTATACTTAGAGTCTAGTGAAAGAAAGTGTGATTATGCTTCAGAGCATATGAAGAAGTCTGTGAAACATTCTTTGCTGATAGCTGAAGATGTTTTTTTTTTAGTGTTGTTTTTTTATAAGGGTTAAATACCCATGTTTTGTTTAGCACTTGTGTGCACTTTGTTTTTGGTTAGTTGCTTACCTTTTTCATATTATGACTAAAAATGGGAGAAGTGTGTGTGTATGTGTGTGTGTATGTATGTGTGTGCACTGACCACTGATTGCTGAATGCTATTGAGGGGGAGAATTTTTTATTCTTTGTTGTGCTAGCAGGTGTTGAGAGGGAGTTCCTGCTGTCCTGGATTGGAGGGATCTGAAGAGATGTCAGACATGATGACTTGATATCATGGTATTGAGAATTTAGTTTCTCTATTTGTTGCAGGTGTGTTTAATAGACTGAATAACTACTAACTATTTCTCTGGTTGTGATGTTGCTCATAACTTTGTTGTTATGTTTGTTTTGATGTTGTGCCTCTGATGTGTATGTTTGATTAATTTTCAAACATGATTATGGTGTTTTATTGTGTAAGAGTTATTTTAGCCAAAATGTGCCAAAGTGTGAGATTATTATTTCTCTGAAATTATACTTGACATGTATTTTGGTAAAACTAACTTGACAACAACATGTTGAACAAGATGTTTCAACTTGCAATTTCAACATGTCGAATGTGATGTCCTAACTAGAAGAGTAGGACATCTGGTATGTTATAGTTTTGCAGTTTGGAAGATGTTTCAACTTGCTGTTTGAACATGTCGAAAGGGATATCCTAACCATAAGTATAAGACATCAGGTCTGCTACAGCTGACAGTTTGGATTCAGTTGTTGTGATTTAATTACTGATTATTCTAGGAATATTTAGTAATCTTATGCGGCATCCAAGATTGACAAATCAGAGATGTTGGTTTTTCAAGATATTCAAACTTTTTAAATATAGAGACATTTTAGGAAAGTTATGATTGAAGACCTATTTTCTTGGAGAAGTTTTTGCAGACTTTGTGCAGCATCTCCTTTATGTTTTTGAAAAAAGAGTTATAAATAGTAGGTTATAAATCTAAAGTTGTAGAGTGTACATTCACTCAATCAACTAATGACATATCATTTTATTATCTTTAATTATTTATTTAATAGTTCAAAGTTTAGAGTAGTTAATAAGTAGGTAATATGGTTAGTAGGTAATAACATGCATTCAAACTTGAAGTACAAGATCTCAAATCTAACAGTCAAAACTACCCGTCCCACACCACCTTCCTTCTCTATCCTCATACATACCAAAACAATTTTGATAGCAAGCTTCTCCGTTTTAACACACGCACTCTAGTAGTAACTCATCCATGGCATTGGTGCTAGAGTGGTACGACTTTGTATGCATTTGCATCGTTGGATTTTCCATCCTATGTGCCTTATATGTACTATGGATAAACGAAGGACCCTCTTCCTCTCAGACCGATTTTGATATTTTGGTTGACACCCTTCTGGTGGCTTCTCCCTCACCGGACAATAGAGTCACCATAGGTCATGTCACCACTTCCCAACTATGGACAAGCTGTTGGAGAGGAGTGCACCCTCTCGTGTTGTTAGCTACCCGTTTCATTTCCCTTCTCGGCTTGATTGTGTTATTATCTTTCGATCTTCATGAATACGATGCAACCATCTTTTACTACTACACGGAGTATGTCATCTTTCATCCTTCCAAATTCCAATTATTACTATTTTTCTAATTACTAGCTAGATAATCTTGTTTACATATATGCAGGTGGACTTTCACATTAGTAATGATATATTTCGCTGTGAGTATATTAATTGTTTATCACATGATTTGTTAAAATTTATCCATCTACTAATTAGTTATAAACTTGTATTTTTTTTTTTTGGAACTTATGTAGTTGGGGACAACGGTATCTGCATATGGATGTTGGAAGTTGTTGAACAAACCTGCTCAGCTTCAAAATGGAGAATTTCCGAGAAGAGATTTGGAAACAAAATATTTTGAACAAGAGTTTGGACAAGCAGCAGGTTTCTGGGGTTACCTCATGCAAATTACTTTCCAGGTAATTAAGTTTGTTTCCTCTGGACAATCATGATGAGCAATATTGTAATCAAGTTGAACTGATATTCTGCATTTGGCATGGCAGACTAGTGCAGGAGCTGTTATCTTAACAGATATTGTATTTTGGTGTGTAATTGTCCCATTCTTATCCATTTCTCGTTTTAAATTAAACATGGTAAGTGCACTTCTTCCACTAATATGAATGAAATTGAACAAACAATTGCAGTATAAATTGATTTTTGTTGGTATGTACTTGTTTACAGTTGATGGGTTGCATGCATACTTTGAATGTAGTTTTCCTTCTTTTGGATACAATGCTGAACGATCTTGTAAGTAACACACTCACTTGAATTATAAAAATAATTAAGCACAAACTTATTTAACAGCAGTTATGACATATATCTATGTATGTATTATTTTTCAGTCTTTTCCATGGTTTAGAATCTCGTATTTTGTTCTCTGGAGCTGCTCTTATGTTATTTTCCAATGGGTATTACATGCATGTGGTTTCACATGGTAAGATATGTAAATGTTGTATTCATTTTCACATTCTTTCCTTCATCAATTATCATCACCTAGAGGTTTCTTTCCTAAACAGGTGGCCATATCCATTTCTTGAGCTTAATACGCCATGGTGTTCCCTATGGTAAAATATTATATTAACACTATATAGTTTCATGTCTTCTCCAACTTGATTTTCACTAATGCATGTTGCTTATAGGTATATCTGCATGGCGCTAGCTCACATACCCTGCTACGGCATCTATTCATTGATAGTGAAAGCAAAATTTGATATTCTTCCTAGATTCTTCCCTCTAGCCTTCTTGAAGTCATACTAGTTAAGTTGTTGTTATAGTTGATGACAATCTGTTATATTATACGTATTTTGGTTAGTATTTTTATATTTTTTTGAGGATGATAAGCTGAACTCATCGCTAATGTTATGCCCTGTAATTGGAATAGATGCTGCCAGAATTTACTACTGAATACCTTATCTCTATCAGACACTATTGACTTAGGCATTCCATGTAACTTAACCACATTATGCATAAATGCCTCAACAACAGTCCCACCCCTGTACCGGATGCATCTGTCTCAAGTATAAACACTTGTGAAAAATCTGGCAACACTAAAACAGGTGTTGAAGTAATTGCAATTTTTAATTGCTCAAAAGCTCTTTGAGTATTTTCATCCCACCTAAAAGCTTTTTTCTTCAGAAGATTAGTGAAAGGGCCTACTTAATAAATCTTCTATAATATCCGGTGAGCCCAAGAAATCCTCGTAACTGTTTCAAATTTGTTGTCATACGCCAATCTAATACATCTCGAACCTTTGTTCTATCCATTGATACACCAGCACCAGAAACTATGTGACCAAGATACTCCACTTCAGATAAACCAAATGAACATTTGGATAGTTTTGCATACAACACATTCTGACTTAGTATTTGAAACACAATCTCTACATGTTTCAAATGGGCATGCCATGAAGGGCTATATACTAGTATGTCGTCAAAGAAAACTAGCACACACTTCCTTAACAATGGTTGGAATAACTTATTCATAAGTCTTTAGAATGTAGCTGGGGCGTTGGTAAGCCCGAAAGGCATCACCAACCATTCATAATGGCCTTGGTCAGTTTTAAAAGCCGTTTTCTGCCTATCCTCTTGCTTGAGAAGTATCTGAAGATAACCGGAATGAAGATCAAGCTTAGAAAAAAAATTTTAATCCATGTAACTCATCAAGTAATTCATCCACAGTAGGCATGGGAAAACTGTCCTTGACAGTTATAACATTCAGAGCCCTATAATTTGTACATCATCTCCAAGTACCATCCTTCTCCTTCACTAGAATAATGGGAGATGAAAATGGGCTAAGACTTGGTTGAGTTATGCCTTATTCCAGCATGTCCTGCACCATCTTTTCAATTTGTTGTTTCTGGCTATGTGGATATCTATAGGGTCTCACCTTCACCGGTTATGCTCCATCTTTCAGTAATATCTCATGACTCAATTCTCTCTTAGGAGGTAGCCCTTTAGGTACTTGAAATATTTCTCTGTATGTATGCAGCAATTTACTCATTTCAGGTTCAAGATTAACTGGAATGCCATTCAAATTGTCCTCTATAACCACTGGATCAATCTTTTGAATAGTGAACAACTCACTAATTGCATCCATCTGGTGTAATATCTTGAAAAGATTCAACTGAGCTACGACCGGTTTGTTGCCAATTTCACCTTTCAATGTGACAAACTTGCCATCTAAGTAGAATTTTAGCATGGATGTAGCATAGTCAACTACATGAGGTCCCAGTGAAGCCAACCATGGTGCTCCCAAGATGACATCAGCCCCTGCTACATGCAAGAGATATGCAGGCACCGTAATCTCAACGCCCTGTATCTTGAGAGACAATTTCTTGACCACACCTTCAGTCTTCATGTTCTGTCCCTTCCCGACTAGAACCTTGCACCCTTTAGTTGGTTCCACGGCTAAATTGAGGCAATGTACAATATGTGGTTGAATAAAACTGTCAGAACTTCCTCCATCGAGCAAGGTAGAACACTAATTGGACCAATGTAGCCCTTAAATCGGATAATACTCATTCTTGTAGCTCCATGTAAGGCATTAAGAGATAAATGATGTTATGTCATCTCTTCATTCTCTGTTGTAGAATTTATGGCTGCTAAGCTAGGTAAATTAGGAATTTCAGGATCATCATTCACCTCAAGTAACATCAATTGTTTGTTTGGACACTTATGTGAGAACAAGAATTTGTCATCACAAAAGTAACATAACCCTTTCTCTCTTCTCAATTGCATTTCTGCTGGTGAAATCCTTTTGATTGCAGGGTTCTTTTGGAGTTGGTTCATAGGTCTAGTTGGTAGTTTTGGAAGTAAGGGTGGGTTGGGGGCTTTTTCGGTAGCTTGTGTTTGGTCATTTCTAGTTGGATTGAAGTGAGTTCTATTTTGTTAGTAAGATGATTTCTGTGGAGCAGACACAATAATCGTAGCAGCTAATTTTTCCTCAAATAACTTGGCAATAGACACAACTTTCACAATTGAAATAGGACAATGCAACATAACATCTCTACGAATTTCGTCTTTCAATCCACTTACAAAACAACCAATTAATGCATCATTACTTAATCCATAAACACGATTGGACAATGCAGTAAACTAAAGATAATAATCATTAACAGATTTTGTTCGTTGGAGTTTAAACAAGGATGCTCTAGGGCAATCATAAATTGAGGGACCAAAGTAAAGTTCCAAAGCTCTTGTGAAATCATTCCATGATTGAAATGGTTGAGATCTATAACCATTTGAAACCACATAACAACTTCTTGTTCGAGGTGAACAGAAGCTATAATCAACCTCTCTGGATCTGGAGTATGATAATAACCAAAAAAATGTTCAGCCTTAAAAATCCAATCAAGAACATTCTTACCATTAAACCTTAGAAATTCCAGCTTGATGTTGCGAACATGAAATTGAGGTGGCGGATACGTAGATCCCGATGATGATGAGTGATACTGAGACATGATCGTAGACATTGTGAATGCATGAGTCCCTGAGTTTGTGCTTCCATGGGTGTTGGTTCATGATTTTAAAAATGTTGCCACTGAAGAAATTAACGGGTTGAGTCGCGGATCAGTTCGCTCTCTTTAAGACGTTTCGCGGTACTGCCCAAAATTATGCAAAGCAGTCGAACTACCACGCCGCCTCCAGGATAAAACAGCTCAGTTCTATACTGTACGATTACTACTTGCACGATAGATAATCGGTCTAGAAATACACCCTCTAATGGTACTAAGACCATTCAAATATGGTATAAATACCACCGTAGTATCTGATATATTTACCAGTCATAAATATTTCTCAAACCAAGAGAAATTTCAATAATTCTTCAAAGAGAATTCAATAATGATCATTTTTGATCACTCAAAGATTTCTCAAACAAAGAGAAATTCGAATAATTCTCTAAAGAGAATAAAAAATTATACTTGAAAATTTCTCAACTCAAACGAGGAGAAATTAACATTATTCTCTATAAAGAGAATTCAAGAAAATACTCGGAAAATTCAACGAGTAGAAAGAAAGGGGAAGAAGTTGGCGCTTCGACAATTCGAAAGACGCAGAGTTATGAGAGTGAGGAAGGAAAAACTAATAAAATGTTTTTGGTGTGTTTTGTAAGGAAACAAGTGACTTCCTTATATAATAAAGTGAGATGGTTAATATTTCTCACATGAGCAATGTGGGACTAAATGAATTTTTTTTTTTTTTAATTCAATATGGAACATGGACATGTTCCAACAATCCCCCACTTGAATTTAAAAAGGTGAATTTGGAAGTAACGTCAAACGTTTCTAAGATTGTGCATAAACAAAGGTGTCTACGACTTGAACCTTTGCATAGCAAGTAGGATTCCGATTCAACAAGAGTGACACAAATGTCTTGAACTCTATCTCAGACATCAAACCCACACACAACCTTTTCTTAAGGTGTATTCTAATAGCCCGTACTTTAATGGCCCTGCACGTGTATCCCGGTTTAGTGAATGCTCTAGGAATCCTGCCTCGAAATTCCATAGGAACCGGCCTAAGTTCCACAATCACATAGGTGAGTCTATCAAGAGTACTCCTGTAGCCTAGGTACTCCCTCATACAGAGTATAGATTTCATTAAGAGTTTCTATTATCTCATCCTCTAATTACTTCAGGATTCATGCTTTACTTGCATGATAATCTCATATTACTCATAACTTGTTATTACCCATTGAACCTATTTCTTGGGATCTCCAGTCATTTAGGTCGGGTTACCATCATGAGAAACTCATTTCTATATAGGCATTAGTCTCATGATATATTATAGACTTTCTCTCTAGCTAATCCTTTCGTCAAAGGATATGCTAAATTTTCATCGGTGTGTACATGATCCACTCTTACAACTCCTTTAGAGATATAGTCTCTAACAGTGTTGTTCTTTCTTCTAATTTGACGTCTTTTACCATTATAATAATGGTTCTCAGTTTTTGCAATAGCCGCGGTACTATCGCAGTGGATCAACACAACTGGCATGGATTTTTCCCATAAGGAAATCTTAGTTAGCAGGCATATTTTAACTAACTTTCTTCTTCACTAGAAATCGCTAACGTTATCATATCAGACTCCATTATGGAATGAGCCATGATACTTCGTTTCCTTGATTTCTAAGATACAACTCCTTTAGCTATGGAATACATAGCCACTAGTTGCTTTAGAATCATCTAATAATATGTTCCAATCTGCATCACTGTACCCTTCAAGTACAGCCAGAAATTTCTGATAATGTAAACTGAGATATATGGTCCTTTTAAGGTACCTCATGACTCGCTTAATAGCTTGTCAATGCTCGTAACTCGGTTTACTCGTAAACCTGCACAATAATCCCACTGCATATGCAATGTCGGATCTAGTATAATCAGTGACATACCTAAGATTGCCAATGATGCTCGCATATTTTGTTTGTCTAACACTTTCACCAGTGTTCTTAAACAGTTTCACACTTGGATCATAAGGTGTGCACCCAAGTTTACAGTCGAAGTAATTATACTTCTTTAAGATCTTTTCCACATAGTGTGATTGATCCAAGGAGATGCCTTGTTCTGATCTCGTGATCTTGATACCAAGGATCACACTTGCTTCACCGAGATCTTTCATATCAAAGTTGTTGCACAACAATGATTTCACTTCATTGATGGTCTGAATGTTTGACCCAAATATGAATAGGTCGTCTACATAGAGACATATGATAGTGCAAATGTGATTCTCATATTTGTAATAAACACATTTGTCACTTTCATTCATCTTATACCCATTTGATATCATTAAGTTGTCAAACTTTTCATGTCATTGCTTCCGAGCTTGCTTCAGCTCATACAAAGACTTGTCTAACTTACATACCTTGTTTTCTGGTCCATGGATCACAAAGCCTTCCGGTTGTTCCATATAGATTTCTTCTTCTAATTCACCATTGAAAAAATTTGTCTTAACATCCATTTGGTGTACTATTAAACTATAAATAGCAGCTATTGAGATAAGTACCCTAATGGATGTCATTCTGGTGACCGGAGAAAAAGTGTCGAAGAAATCTATATTCTCTCTTTGTCTAAAACCCTTGGCTACAAGGCGAGCCTTGTATTTATCAACAGTTCCATCAGGTTTTAGTTTCTTTTTCAAAACTCATTTACAACCGATTGGTTTGCATCCAGGAGGCAAGTCTACTGAGTGACAGATCTTGTTAGATTCTAGAGAATCTATCTCATCATTAATAGCTTCTTGCCAGATATCTGCATCCAGAGATGACAAGGCTTCTTGAAGATTCATTGGATCTTCCTCTACATTATAGGTCGCATAATTCTTCCCATAGTCTTTAGAAACTCTTACTCTTTTACTTCTTCGAAGTTCTGTTTCTACATCGTCGTTGCTTTTTGTGCTTCTTATCACATGAATGTGACTCGATTGAGTGCCCCCACTATTTCTCGATTTGAAAGGAAATTTTTTTCTTCATAGAATTCAACATCATTTGATTCTATGATCACTTTTGCATTTAGGTCATAGAACCTATATGCCTCACTGTTTGCTTCACACCTAATGAACACACATTCATAGGCTCTATTAGCAAGTTTAACTCGCTTCGTATCCTGAATTCTGACATATGCCAGACAAACCCAAGTTCTTAAATAAGACAATTTTGGTTGTCTTTTCTTTAATATCTCATAAGGAGAGATATTACTTTTTAACTTGGGAACTCGATTCAGGACATAGCAAATAGTCAACAAAATTTCCCCCACCAGTGAGAAGCAACACCAAAATTTAATATAATTGCAACAACAAGTTCAATAAGAGTTATATTCTTTCTTTCTGCTTTACCATTCATTTCAAAAGAGTATGGTGCAGTCATTTCATGTACAATTCCATATATAAAATTCATCAAACAAACTAGAATCATATTCAGTTCTCCTATCACTACGAAGTCTCTTAATCTTCTTACTAAGTTGATTCTCAGTTTCAGTTACATACATCTTAAACATGTGAAGTGCTTCATTTTTATTCTTCATTAAATATACATAAGTATAATCAGAATAATAGTCAATAAAATAACATTTACTATTTCTAGTTAAAGTTCCATGTAATTCACATATACCATAGTGTATAAGGTCTAGGGGATCAGATCCTTTAATAATTGATTTTTAAATTCTTTACAAAGTTTTTAAACATATCAATTTCATTCACAAAAATGTCATTCTTTGTAATGGTGTACAAATCTACCCCAATGGACTGACTAAACTATGCCTTATATAAAAGAAAACCAGAAACAAAATTCTTCCTAATCTCAAGAAAATGTATGACGTCCTTCGAGATTAAAGTCTTTCTGGAGGTGAAATTCAACTCCATTTCTC